CATCATCACCACCACCACCACCACCACCACCATCACCACCACCACCACCATCAGCACCACCACCCCACTATCATCATCTTCTTCATCATTTTGAAGTGGCAAGACTTCTTGATTTGCCACATTTTCCCTCTGAGTGTGAGTATCATCTTCTATCTAGTGGAGCTTAACTCCAAAATAAGGATCATAAAAATGACCCTTTTGTGGTGACCAGTGCTGAGTGACTGGCATGCTGGAGGACCCCGGACTCCGTGTTATCTGGGACACCTTCAGTGACGGGTGGTGCTGAAGTCTTTGACGAGACCTTCCTTCTAGATCCCCAGTCCCCAGGCTGTCTCCTCAGGACGTCCTTCTGAAGAACAGGTCCTCGGTGAGCCCTGGGTTGGACAGGGACCCTCTATGGGCACCTGCTATTCTTATTTCAAGGAAGGAGACACATTTGGGAGCAGATAGGAGCTGGGAGAGCATTTTTAAAGGATGGCACTGATATTGATTTTAGTAAATCATTTAATTTTATTTTGATTACAGAATTAGTCCACAGCCTGTCTAACAAACCTGGAAACCCTGAATCTCCTTAGCCAGTTATGATTTAATATGTGGCCACATTTCCTTTTTTATTATTGTGGCAGCAGCTTAGGATGATGGATAGCAGCGGTTTGGAGTGATTAACTTTGCCATCATCCTCAGGTAGTTCTCTACTCTGCTTTTCACTTAACATTCAACAGTGGACATTATTCACATTGTCTGTTGCCGATTCTGGATGGCCTCATTACCCCGTAGCATGGCTCRCCACTGCTTCTTCAGCTCCATCTAGTTTCCCCCTCCCTTGATGTACTCTAGACACACTGGCTTTCCTGGTGTCTCCCCAACACCATGCTCATTTCTACCCCAGGGCCTTTGTACCACCTGCACTACCTATAAAGCACTTCCCTGGTTCTGTATGTGGCAGCTCCTTCTTACCATTCACAGCCCAGTTCCATATGTCTCCCTGTGGCCATCCCAAATGGATAATGACTCCCTCAGTCTCTCTCTCTCTCACCACCCRTTTAGTTTCTTCCTTGCAGGATGTGTGTGTGATAATTTTATCATCTGAGGTCATCCTATCCGTGTGTCTGTCTTGTTTATCTAATTGTCTCCCTGCTCCTTGTCCGTTCCCTCCACAGACTGTGTGCTCTGTGAGGATGTCCCTATCTATTGTGTCTGTCATTGATCTCCCTATGGACAACATAGGTCTGTCACATAGTAGGAGCTCAATAAATAAGCACTGGAGAGATGGATGGCTGGATCCAGTATGGCTGGGTGGAGGGTGGCAGGGGGCTGAGGCTGGGTGCATGGGTGGATGATGAGTGTGTGGGGGAGGGGACACGTCATTGTTTACCTACCACAACCCAATTCCACACTCACAGTGCCTCCCCTTGATTTGTTTTTTGGTGGGGTGGACTGGGGATCACACCCAGGGACCCTCGACCACTGGGCCACATCCCCAGCCCTGTTCTGTGTTTAAGAGACAGGGTCTCACCGAGTTGCTTAGGGTCTTAAATCACTGAGGCTGGCTTTGAACTCTCGGTCCTCCTGCCTCAGCCTCCGGAGCCTTGAGGAGGTGAACGGGGCAATGGGGAGGAAATAGGCYGCGCCTGCCTTTGGGGAGAGCTGACCCTGATCTGGAGACGACACCCGGGGGGCCAGGTGGGGCCCTTGTTTGGGGTCCTCCCAGTGGGTTCCCGGAGGTGGAGAGGTGGCAAGGCTCTCTTCGGGCTCTGAGGTGTCCAGCCTCCTCGTGCCTGGACTCGGGCCATGGTGTCCCTCTTGTCCCCGTGCAGTGGGCCGGAAGCAGTTCATGCGTTTCGAGTGGGCGAACCACGCAGCCGCGGCCCTGGGCTGTGAGTTCGAGGAGCTGAACACGGCCACCTTCAAGCACCACCTGCGGCAGATCATCGAGCAAGTGACGTCCAGGCCCAGGCCACGGGGACTCGAGGAGGAGGAGGCCAGCCCAGGTACCTCGCCGTCACCTCTGTGGGTGGCCAGGGTGTCCTCTGGCCCACCACGGGGCATGCACAGCCTTCTTYCATTGGCTCATCAAGAAATATCGAAGCCCCCCTCTGTGTCCCTGTGCCGGGAGCAGGAGTGGCAGGCTCCCACCCGGGCAGTGCCTAGCTCTGCCCAGCGACCGTGAGGCTGCCACATCCTGGGAGCGGCCTGGGCTGGGGCGGGGACACTGGGGGCAGTGCCAAGGGGCCAGGCATTCCTCTGGAGGTCACAGGAGTTGAGCCCTTGCCGTGAAGGGGGAAGTGGCCTTTCTCTGTGGAACAGAGGCCAGGCTGGCACTGCTGGGCCTGGGGTAGAGGAGAGGGCCTGGGGGTAGAGATGGCGCTCAGGGGACCTGCTCCCTGTGGCCTGGGAACTGGGGCTTTACTCTCAGCCACCAGCAGCTCGGAGCGGCGGGCAGGGCCGGTGTGCCGACTCCCTCTGTACAAAGCTCAGCCCGGGGAAGGTTGGGGGTGTGTGGGACAAGGGAGCTGGTGACAGACACGGGGCGAGAGGGGACACATGGTGGAGAGGGGACACAGCGCGGAGGCTGAGGCCAGTTTACTAGCTGGGGTGACAGCAGGAACCCTAGGGGAAAGGGAGGGACCGAGGACGCCTTCCGCAATGGCCAGGTGGGCCGGTGCTTTTCCCTGGTGCAGGGAGAAGCGGAGGACAGTGCTCTGCAGCTGCAGGGCTGGGGCCGCGGAGCCCGGGGTCTGCAGCTCTGCCCACCAGAYGCCCTCCTGCAGTCGGGGAGCGAGGGCGGCCTCGGGCTCTCGGTCCAGGGGCCCCTGAGGGCCCTCTAGAGGCAGCTCTCCTCGTGACAGTGGCAGTGTCTGAGCTGTGGCTTCCTCAGAAGTCCCCTGGATCCTTGCACAGATGCACAGCCCATAAAGGCACCTGGATGTGCAACACACACACACACACACACACACACACACACACACGCTGCTTGGCCAGCCTGAGCTGACCTCTCAGGCCGTCTCCAGGGTGGACGCGGAGCAGGTGGGGGGAGGGGGGCTGCGGCTTTGGAGAGATGCTGGGAGGCTGTTGGTTGCCTAGCAACTGCCCAGGGAGAGGTGGAGGGGAGGAGGGCGGACAGCGCTGGGGGCTGCTGGACGAGCAGAGCGCCCCGCCCCCGGCACCCACAAATGCAGATGGGGAAGCCGTGGCTGGAATTCTGCGGCGGGTGTGAGCACTCCAGGGTCAGGGCATGTCGTCCCCACGCCCAGCTCTGCCCTCTTCCCCACTCTGACCCAGGCGGCCGTTTTACCTGCGCGCCCAGGTGTGTGGGTTGAAGGGCCATCGAGCYSTCCCTTCCTCCTGAGGGTCGCAGGRGGAGTCTTCCCCCCTCCACCCATGTGCCTCCACACCTAGCCCCAAGCCGGGCTGGGCCTGAGCCCACTGCAGGCCTCACAGAAGTGCTCTCTGGGGGCGCCTAAGGTGTCTCCAGAAAGTGAATCTCAGCAGCAGGGGGAAGGACCCGCGCACCAAGACATCTTTGTTTCTCAGAATGTATCATTAGGAGAAAAAAGCCCAGGAGTGAAATGACTAAGTCCCCCAGTATATAACAGGTGACAGTTACTGAAATAAAAATTGCCCAATTTCCCTCSAGAAAATAGCAGACATTCATCACGTTTCTACTACATAAAAGGTATGGAGGATTTAAAGGCCAGAAAAACTCAAGAGACARTCCCTGACTTCAGGGCACTACCTTTGCTGGGGCACGAGGGGGTCCTCTCATGGGAGAGACACAGGTTTAAAATCACCACATGAGTAAAGACTATGCCATAGGTTGTGTAGTAAAAGCAGGACAGAGCTGGTGGCAGTCAAGGAAGGCTTCCTTGAGGAGGTGACTGGGTTAGTCAGTTTTCTGTTACTGTAGCAAAATACCTGAGCTAATGGAAGTAAAAAGAGGAAAGGTTTATTTTGGCTTACAGTTCTGAAGGGCTTGATTTGTGGTCCTTTGRTCTCATTGCGTTTGGGCCTGTGATGGGGCAGCAGGTCCACTATCTCTTTCAAGGGTATGTTTCTTAGTAGGGTGTGGCAGCCCATGCCTCCATCTCAGCAACTTGGGAGGTTGAGACAGAAGGATCATAAATTTGAGGCCAGTCTGGGCAACTTAGGGAGGTCCGGTCTGAAGATAAAAATCAGGAAGGACTGGGGATGTGGCTCAGTGGTAGAGTAACCAAAGTGCAGCAGTAAATAAAGCAAAAAGAAATAAAAGTGAGGCCCCCAAGCGCATGGCCTAGTGACCTGGAGCCTCCCAGTAGGCCGCCCTGAGAGCCCCGCCCCAAAGGCCCCGCCCCAAAGGCCCCGCCCCCCAAAGGCCACGCCCCCAAAGGCCACGCCCCCAAAGGCCCCTCCTTCCCCCACGGGCACCATGGCTGGGACCCCGCCCCCTCCCACCATGGCTGGGAACCCACCTGTCACAGGTGGCCCTGGGGTGGTTCTGGGTCCCGTCCCCAGCAGTGCCGCCCACGTGGAGCACTGGGGTCACCTGGGGCAGCTTGGAGAGCGGGAGGGCAGGCGGCGCGAGACCCTGGAGGGCTCATAAATCACCTGGACCTTGTCCCAGGAGCTGGCGCTATTTCAACAGTGGCGCTGGGGAGGGGTATTTTCCAAGTCAAGCGACCCCTGCTGTCCGGTGGCAATGTCCTCGGCCCTGAAAGGTGGTGACAGTGGCCTGCCACCCCGTCCTCTTTCTGACTCCAGGGCTCAAGATGACGGGCGTGGAGTGCGTGGAGGGCATGGCCAGCGGCCTGTACCAGGAGCTCTTTGCTGCTGTCGTCTCGCTCATCAACAGGTACGTGGCCTTTGCTGGGGCACCAGGAGCTCCTGCACGAGGCAGGTTCGCCGAGGGGCATTTCTGAGCTGGGTTCGCATTCCACAGAGGCCCCCTGCAGGCTGTGTGACTTTGGCCAGTCCCCTTCCCTCTCTGGCTTCCCTTTTCACATCTGTAAAATAGGTCTATTCCCCAGGGGCATCAGAGGATTAAGGGAAACCAACAAGGAATTTTAGTTGTTGGCTGTAAAAATTCCAATAAGAAAAGCACATTGGCTGGGGGCGGTGGTGCACACCTGTCATCCCAGCAGCTTGGGAGGCTGAGGCAGGAGGATCGAGAGTTCAAAGCCAGCCTCAGCCACAGTGAGGCCCTAAGCAACTCAGGGAGACCCTGTCTCTAAATAAAATACAGAACAGGGCTGGGATGGGGCTCAGGAGTCAATGGCCTACCACAAAAGAAAAAAAACGCATGTTGGCGGCAGTGGACGGTGGACAGKGCCCCCAGCCTGTCCAGCAGGGCTGAGGGACAGCAGGTGAGGGGAGGAGGCCCAGAGAGCCTCGGGAATCCTGGTGCAGGGACGAGGCTATGTGTGGCAACAGAGTTACGGGGACCTCCGGGTTGTCATAGCCATGGTACCAASTTCCCCAGGCGCTGCGGCAGTCACTGCCATCTGGACCCCAGGCTCGAGTGGCTCGAGGTGCTTAGAGGATGGGAGGGGAGGTGACCACGGGCAGGGAAAGGCCCCAGCCAGCCAGGGCGAGGCTTGGCCTGGTTCTGGAGCTCACTCACTGTGAGGTGGGTGTCCTGAGCCTGCCCGCGCCTGGGAGGGCCGTCCCCGTCTCCACCCACGTCCATGGTGGCTGYTCTCGCTGGCCCCGCCTTGCAGGTGGAGAACCTCAGCAGGGAGAAGGGAGAGCTGAGGCGCAGGGTCCCCCAAGCCCATCCTGCTAATGGTGATAATAGCAAATGGCCCCCACCGAGCTCGGCACCCTGCAAAGGCCAGCTCCCAACTGTGGACGGGTGATCACAGTCCTCCCCGCAGCCCTCTCCTCATGAACCCTGTCACAGAGGAGCGGCTGAGGCTCAGAGAGGTTGGGCACCTGTCCCAGGACACACAGCCCATCCTTGCAGAGCGRGGGTGGACACCCGCGTGATGGCTCCCGTCTCTTCCTCCTGCATTTTGACGTGAGCAAACCCCGCTCTGTCCGCCCTGGCAGACACACCAGAGGTCCAAGGGGACAGCTTGAAAGAACCCTCACTAATGCCCTCACGGGGTGAGTTCTTCTGTTTCGGTGTGCCCCTGGGGAAAGAGAGGGTCTTGATGTTGTCACCCATTTTCTGGGTGGCCTCCAGCCAGTTGATTCTGTACCCAGGGCTGGTGGAGAAGTAAGTCACAGTCCCTGGAAACTCACTGTCCCTGTGCACCACCAGTTTTTTTTTTTTTTTTTAAATTTTGGCACCAGGGACTGAACCCACAGGAGCCTGACCACTGAGCCGCCTCCCAGCCCGTTTTATTTTTTATTTAGAAACAGGTCTTGCTAAGTTGCTYAAGGTCTCGCGGAGTTGCCGAGGCTGGCCTTGAACTTGCGATATGGGATATGCTTTCTACTCTCTCCTTTCATCCTTGTGCTCAACCTCCCTCCTCCCACCTTTAATGGTTGACTCTTTAATGGTTGAAGAAACCCATGCTCAGAGAGGTTAAGCCGCTCCCCAAGGTCACACAGCCTAGAAGTGGTGAGCTTGGTTTTGAAACCAGGTCTGCTGGATCTCCAAACCTGCCGAGCCTGCTGCTGCAGCCTCAGTTTCTCCGTCTCTGCGATGGGGCAGCAGGAAGCTTGGACCAGCAGGTTCTCAGAATCTTTGTAGTCTCAGGGCCTCCCTCTCCTCTCTCTAGATCCTTCTCCTCCCACCACCTCTCCATGGCGTCCATCATGGTGGTGGACTCCCCGGGCTTTCAGAACCCCCGGCATCAGGGCAAGGACCGGGCGGCCACCTTTGAGGAGCTGTGTCATAATTACGCCCAGGAGCGCCTGCAGCTGCTCTTCCACCAGCGCACCTTCSAGTCCACGCTGGAGCGACTCCGAGAGGTGGGACTCGGCAGGGGAGGGGGGCGGCCCCTGCAGCGCCTGCAGCCCTGTCTGTCTGTGGGGCCGGCCAGCGCCACAGCCCTTCCTCCCAGCCTGGCCTCGGGGCCTCCGCTGCTCCCTGTCCTCCWCAGCCCGGTCTCCACCCGGAGCCTCCACCCTCCAGCCCCCGCACCAGGAACGTGGGCTTCGCAGGCCTCATTCCCAAAGTTCTCCCCCCGCCCCCTCYGCTCCCCCCGGTCCTCACGTGCTGGCTCTGGCGCACCCCCACGGGCCCTGTGCGCCACTCTGCGCCACTAGGTGACGATTCCCAGCCCAGTGGGCGGTGCCCGTGCCCGTGGGCCGGCAGCTCCCCTCCTGGGGACTTGGCTGAATGGCACAGGTGTTGCCGGGTCCCCCAAGTCCTGCCACCGTGAAGAAAAAGGAGTGGAGACATTTACCCGCGTCCCTGAGACTGGCTCTGAACAAGGGGCCTGCGGTCATCTCCTCGCCTTCCCGGGGCCTGGAAGTCCAAGGTCCAGGGCAGGCGAGTCTGACACTCTGGCTAGGGCTGCCCTAGGCCTCCGGTGGCCGTGAAGTCTGTAAGGAGGGACCCTGTCCCCACATGGCGGGAGGCAGAGGGCAGAGAGCCAGATGCAGGGGACACCCCTTTTATAAGGTTTAGGCCCCAAAGGAGCCCTGCTGGCCTCATCCCCTCATAGAGGCCCACCTGTGGTACTGTCACCGTGTCACATTGGCCACGRCGTTTCAACACCTGTATTTTGGAGGGGGCGCCTTCAACACAGAAAAGCCCAGAAGGACACAGCGTCCAGCCGTGAATTCTTCCAGATGCACATTTTCCTGGGCCCCTCCCCCAGGGGACAATAGGAACATTGCAGGACCCCCGATGGCCATCTCTACTCCTTCCTTCTCTGAGGGTGACCAGTTTGTCTCCGCTATGTGGCTCACGGCAGGATATTAGAAACACCCGTCCAATGCCCTCATGGGATAATAGCCTTGGGAAGGATGGCCCTGTCTGAGGCTGGAGCCCGCAGGGCCACAGGAGAGCAAGCAGGAGTTTGGAGAAGTCTCGATAAAGGGTATTAACGGGGTCTGGTGGTAATTCTGTCACTTATTGGCTGTGTGGCCTTAGAAAAGTYGCTCACCCTTTCTGGTCCTTAATTCCTTCACATGGAAAAGTGAGATGATAACACTCCTCTGCCGTGACCCTTTGCCACAATAAGAGGCATAAGAACTGCTGCTGATGGCAGCAGCCTTTGGAGACCCAGAGGTCTCTGAGTTGAGTGGCTCTTCTGCTCTTGACTGGGTTATTATCATTCTTTGTTTTGGTGCCAGGAACATAGGGTTAAGAATCCAGGGGTGCTTAACCCCTGAGCCCCATACTCGGCCCTTTTAAATATTTTTATTTAGAGACAGYGTCTCCTTGAGTAGCTTAGGGTCTTGCTGAGTGCTGAGGCTGACTCTGAACTCACGATCCTCCTGCCTCAGCCTCCTAAGCCGCTGGGATGACAGGCGGGTGCCATTGCTCCCAGCTTGGGTTGGCTGTGAGCTGTGATCAGATGTAGTTGGTGGGTGCCCCCCCGGACGGTCTTCCCTGAGCCCTCTTGTGTGTCTGGGGGACTGTTGGCCATGAACTGAGACCTGTCCCTGCTCCCTGATGGCCTCACCCCCAGCAGGCCCGCCCAGCGAGGTCATGGTGCTGGAGAGAGGTCCCCGCCTGTGAGCCCATGGGCACGGRGCCCCCGGAGGCCAGCTTGGAGCTGACTCCGTCCGGGTCACGACGGCTGTATTTGGTGGGTTACACGGAGTCTAAGGAAGAACCCTGTTTCCAGGAGGAGGGACATGGACTCCTCTGGAGAAGGAAGCTGCACATCAGTCTGCAGAGACCTTGAACCAGGCAGGGACCCAGAAATCAAAACACAAAAGGCAGAYCACTGTGGCCGCACCCCTTCAGTGGCTGTTTGGAATATCTGTTGAAGCAGCRTGGAGAGGGCCGGTCCGTGTTAGGCTTTCCATGTGTGGTGACCATGAGACTTCCCACACTGCTTCACTTATTTCTCATTATCAAAATCGTGCATGTGCCTTATTTTAAAGAACCCTAGGAAATGCATAGATCCATAAAGAAACAAGAAATACAGTTTCCTTTAGCTTCTCCACCCAGAGGTGACCCTTTACCGTGGGCTGTCGTTGAGACTCATCAGAGTCTAAGTTTTTTATACAGTTTTCTCTGCAAATTTCTGACCCTCCTGTGTGTGTGATCTTGCTGTCCACCGTCTTTCCCACGGCATTGCATTCTATTTCCTCACCCCATTTACAGATTTTTAGTAAATGTGCTTTTCAGTGGTCACGTCTGTTTCTTTATTAACATTCCTTTGGACACCTGGGTGATTTCGAGGTGAGGATACAAACAACACTGTGTTGGACATTTGTGCCCAGCCCTGTCTGAGWGTCTAGTTACTGCTTTGGGGTTTTTTTGTTTGTTTTATTTATTTATTTTTTTTGGTACGAGGGATTGAACCCGGGGGCCCTCGACCACTGAGCCCTGTCCCCAGCCCTATTCTGCATTTTATTTAGAGACAGGGTCTCACTGAGCTGCTTAGGGCCTCACTGTGGTTGAGGCTGCTTTGAACTCTTGATCCTCCTGCCTCAGCCTCCTGAGCCGCTGGATCATGCACCACTGCACCCAACAATACAATTTTTWAAAATAATTGTTTATATAAGAAGCTGAAGCAACGTCCTCACTTCTTTTTCTGAGAGCTTTCTGCCCCTAACTTCTGCCTCCTGTGGCCTGTAGGAAGGTGTTCCTGTGAAGTTCGACCTCCCAGAGTCTTCCCCAGCGACMACGGTGGCCGTGGTGGATCAGAAGCCCTCCCAGGTAACAAGGGACCCCGCCACCAAGGCGGTCAGAGGTGACCAGCAGGTTGGAGCCTTCAGGCTGCTGGTCCTCCACACGGCCTGCACCTGGCACCCGCCCCCCCCCCCGGGGTGCTGGGACACTGAGGCCTGGGAGCCGCCCCAGCGTCTGTGCTGATGGCCCGGGTGTGGTYCAGGTGACAGAGATGGAAAGGTGCTGTGGCCGGGGACCCTGCTCAGCTGTGTGTCTGACCCTGGCCTGGAGGGGCTCAGAGGGGGATCTCGGAGTCCCTCAGCTCTCTGTTCAGACAGAGGAGCTGGCCCTGCAGAGACTGGGCCCTGGGGAGTGAAGAGTGGGTGGAGCAGCCTTAGGACACCTGGGTGCTCCACCTGCCTCCTCCCATCCAACCCGCTGTGCTCCCTGATCTGTGTTGGCCCGCCCCGTCCCGGCTCAGACTCTTTGATTGACGCCTTTCTCCTTTACCTTTGCATGGGACCCRGCTCAGGCTCGGGAACCTTCCTGCCTGGGTCCTGACCTTGGTGACCTTGGGCACACCATGCACCTCTCTGAGCCTCTGTTTTCTCGTCTCCAGAATGAGAACGGTTCCTTCTGYGTGTCACTGAGATATGGCACTGGAAGCACCAGGCACGGGGGACGTGTTGGGGACGTCCTGCCCGTGGCCCCTCTCCTGCCAGGGACACTGCAGGCTGCCCTTTTCCCCATGCCTGATCCCCCAGGTCCAGGGTGGTTTCCAAGCTGTCCTCGTAGGCCCAGGCCGTGGCCACCATGCTGCGCTGCTCAGTCCCCTCCCCACCCAGCTGCCTCACCTCGCCCTCTCCTTAGAGGGGCTGGGCCCGGGAGACGACTCAACAGTGCAGGATGGGAAGGGCAGTGTGTCCCCTGGGGCCACGGGCTGTGACTTAGAGTGGCTGCCCTCTGAGGATGGGCCAGCTGTCCATTTCAACCCCAAAGAAGGTGGCCAAAGGCTGGTGGCACACACCTGTCATCCCAGCAGCTCTGGAGGCCGTGTCAGGAGGATCCCGAATTCTTGAGGCCCTGAGCAAATCAGCGAGACCCTGCCTCTAAATAAAATATAGAAAGGGCCGGGGACGGGGCTCAGTGGTTAACTACCCTGGGCTCCATCCAGGTACCGTCCTCCCCACCAAAAGAAGAGGAAGGGGCCCAGGTGAAGGCCCGGGGTCCAGCTGTAGCTGTCCCTGGGACTCCCCGTGTGATCCTGGGGTGTGGCTCTGAGGGCTGTGGGCCAGGGTTTCCCAGCCAGGTGGCGCCCGTCCTGCTGGGCCTGTGCGCACCGTGCTCCCCAGCCGTAGCCCTGACAGCTTTGCATCCTGGAAGCCCCTGGGTCCTGGGCCCTCGGGGTGGCTGGCCACTGTCCGCAGCCCACACCRTTTTGGGTCATGGCCTCTCCTGTGGGCCTCGGCTAAGCCCATGAAACCCCCCGGACCTCTGTTCCCCCTCAGCAAAATGGCAGAGTGGCCTGTGGCTGAAGCTGGGGCCAAGTTCTGTGTCTGCGCTTTTGAATCAAGTTCACCTTCTCCTCGGAGATGTTCTTTGAGGGCCTGTGTGTGCGTGTGTGTGCGTGTGTGTGCGTGCGTGTGTGTGTGTGTGTGTGTGTGTTTAATTTATTCCCCAAACTTTAGTTTGGAAAAACACAAAGAGGAAGTGGCGTGGGTGGGATCAATCCTTTCCTGCTTGGCTGTGTAAAATAGTCTAGCTGCCTCCTCTGTCTAGAAAGACGCTGTTTACAGAACACTCACCCTGGTAGTGCCTCACTGCAGCTCTCTGAGGAGGATATTTCTGGTCTCCATTTTTCAYAGGAGAAAATGAGGCCCAGAGAGGTAYAGAAAGTTGCCCAAGGGTGCACAGGAGGGAAAGGCAGATTCCGACTCCTTGCAGTGGAGAGGTGTTACTGTTTTGTGGCTCCAACACTGAACGTTTGGGGACCTGTGGGAGCACAGAACAAAACAGGCTGTCCCTCAGTGTCCCCTGGGTCTCCCATCAGGTCCACTTACCAGCTGGAGGAGGTGCCGAGGATGCCAGGGGCCTTCTCTGGGTCCTGGATGAGGAGGTCCGGGTCGAGGGCTCCAGTGACAGCGTGGTGCTCGAGCGTCTGCGGGTGGCCTTTGAGAAGGGAGCTGGAGGTGAGGGTAAGGAGCTGGCGGGGCAGGGTGCAGCACGGGCGTTGGAATCCGTCAGTCAGGAGAAGCCCTGGCAGGGTGGGGCACTGCCGTGCGGAAGTGCAGACACACGTGCCAGGGTGAGCTGTTGTGCCCCTGGTGCTCATCCACTGGTGCATGTGACAAGCTCATCAGCAGCCGCCCTGGGCTGGGCACTGTTGCCCACGGCAGTGAACCAGTCTGACGTGGCCTGTCATCCCAGGGGCTCAGAGGCTGAGGCAGGAGGATCGTGAGTTCAAAGCCAGCCTCAGCAAAAGCGAGGCCCTAAGCAACTCAGTGAGGCCCTGTCTCTAAGTAATATATAAAAAGAGCCAGGGAGGTGGCTCAGGGGTTAAGCACCCTGGGTTCAACCCCTGGGACACAAKGCAGGGAAGGATGGCGATGTCACCTGGGTCACCTGGGCTCGGGCTGCAGAGGCTCCTGTGGACCCTGCACAGACCTTGGTTTTGACCTAGAGCCATGAGAGGCCCCAGGGTTTCTGGGCTGGGGGAGGTGTGGAGGGTCACGTCCGCAGGTCCAGGCAGGCTGCAGGGGAAGGCTGCCAACCTGGGGGTGGGTGGAACTGGGGGCATCGGCAGGTAAAGCCCACAGCGTTTGGTGGTGGGTTGGATTGGAGGGAAGTGAGAGGGCRATGGAGGCACCAGGTGGGACCCTGGGACCGGACAGCTGTCAGTCCCAAGTTCAAGTTCAGCTGTTCCTGCTTCCTCCATGTGATTCTGAGCAAAGCTCCCGGCGTGAGTGGAGATGCTGGTAAAACAGGGGGAGCTCCCAGCGCCTCGCTCCCCAGAATCTCCTCATCGTGACTGAGTGTGTGACGTGCCAGGGAGCCACACCACAGGGGCAGCACAGGCAGGGGTCCCAGGGGTACTGCGGTCCTCCCTGGAGGTGGTGCACTGAGGGCTCGGTTGTGCCATCTGGTGTCATCCGCCTGCCTTTGGGGACAGATAGTCTTGTCTCCAAGACAAGGGAGCAGGTCTCTGGAGAGGAGAGGCTGGCCCACGGTCACCCAGAAGAGGAGGCCGGGAGGCCCATTGGAAGCCAGGCGTGTCTGGTGGAAGCTCTTGGGACCCGGAGGCACCAGGGCAGACACATTCGGAGGCCTTCCTGGTCCCAGCCGGCGGTGGCCACTGGGACGTGGGCTCCTCCGCTYGCGGCACCTGCTGATGTGGAAGGCGCGTTCCTTGCTGGGAGAGCCCCTCCTCCCYGGGGCTGGTCCTGTGGCAGGCGGGGTGTGACCCCCGAACTCTGCTGGGAGGGGCTGGAGGACCAGGGTCAGCAGAGAAGGTGCCCGAGGACGAGCCTCGGGACATCCCAGCGTCAAGAGGTCCAGGCCAGCACCCGCCCAGGGGCAGCGGCTCCGAGGGAGCGAGGCAGGGAGGAGGAGAGGAGCCGGGGGAGTGTGACACACTGGATGTCACAGGAGGGAGGGACTTGCTGTGGTGAATGCAGGTGTCAGGTCACGTGAGGCGCAGGCTGAGCGAATGTCCATCCGCTGGGAAGAGCCCTTCGAGCCCCTGACCTGGTGCCAGGAGAAGTCCCCGTCCCATGTGACCATCTTATAATGACCAGCCTGCAGTGACTGTCCCCTGGTGACCGGCTTAAGATGACCAGCCTGTGGTGACCAGCTGAGGTGACCAGCCTGTGGTGACTGGTGGAGGCCCCTGTGTGGGACATTCATGGCAGAGTCCTGTGCCTGTCCAAGGAGGATGTTTTCTAGGTAGCCGCCGCCGCCGCCGCCGCAGCTGACAGTTCCAACCTCAAGGTCGCTCGGGGGCCCAGACCCAGACTGCTCCCAGAGAGCCCGGCTCTGCCACGTCGGGGGCACAGTGCCTGGGGCCCAGGAAGGTCACACCGTGGTTTTGAACTGTTCCTGCAGCGGTCCTGCCACTGGCTGTGGCTGTGACAGGGACCGACTCCCCTGTCGGCAGGGTCTGGGCTCTGCGGAGCGTCTGTCCCCTGCCAGCCGGGGCAGGAGGGCGAAGGGGTGGGAGCAGCGTCTCTCTGTAGAGCCCTAGTGTGGGCCCCAGGTCACGGGCCTCGCTGCGCCTCACCTGGGTCCCAGGCCTAGCCAGAGGCGGGTGGTTCCCTGCACCCATAGGTGCCTCCCCCAGGGCCAGGYAGACCGCCCCGCCCCCCGCAGTGTGGAGTTGTCCCGTCTCCACGTTGGATGTGCCCAGGGAGACAGGTTCAGAATCACCTGTGGCTTGGCCCCTCTCATGCAGTAATGATCGCTAGGGCCTCAGTTTTTCTCCAAGGCCAGGCCCATCGGTGCCTCTGACCCTGTCTCTGGCCACCCACTGTGTGCCTGTGTCGAGGCCGAGGCTCGTTTATTCAGTCGATGACATTCAACAYCATCTTAGGTGACACTCAGATAGATATTTTAAAAATACACCATGACTCTTTATTTCCCTGGATATTAGAAAATCAATTGCACATCAAACCTGCCACAGAACGTGTCTTTATAGAATGTAGAGACTTATAAAGATGGGAGTTGATTTAGAGAAAGCATTCAGTCACTCACAGCCTAGGTGACAGGGGGTACACGTGGCAGAACGTTTGAAGATGGTGTGTGTCATGATGTTTGAGTGGACATAGGATCCCGGGTTGAAGAAGGCAGAGAGAGCTGGGCAYGGTGGCCCCCGCCTGTCATCCCAGCGGCTTGGGAGGCTGAGGCAGGAGGATAGCGAGTTCAAAGCCAGCCTCAGYAAAAGGGACGTGCTAAGCAGCTCAGTGAGACCCTGTCTCTAAATAAAATACAGAATACAGCTGGGGATGGGGCTCGGTGGTCAGGTGCACCTGAGTTCAATCCTCAGTACCAAAAAATAAAATTAAATTAAAAGAAAATAACTAAAAAAGCAGAGGAGAAAAATACCCATCACAAATAAGGTGCATCAGTTCCCCCATGCAGAGGAAGCGAGGTGCCCTGAACCCTCAGCCTCAGCTCTCTGSAAGCCTGCCAACAGGGAAAAAGGGTGTGCTTGGGGACGCCAGCTGATTGCAAAGTGTCCCCACGGGACCCCAACATTCAGGCCGCCATGTCTGTCTGCAGGGGCCTCCGCCCTGAGGACCTGTGAGCAGCCCCTTCAGTGCGAGATCGCCCACCAGCTGGGGCAGGACCCCGTGCGCTACGACCTCACGGGCTGGCTCCACAAGGCCAAGCCCAACCTCTCGGCCCTGGACGCCCCCCAGGTCCTTCAGCACTCAAAGAGGTGAGCCACCCGGGCTGGGGACGGGCGGGGGCATTGGGGGTGCTGGGAATCCTTCCCCAGTGGGACAGCAGAGCCACGCCAGCCCCGCGAGCGAGGGCCAGTCTCCCAGAGTGGAGCGGTGGGCTGTGTCCCCAGGGCCAGAGCGACTCCAGCAGAGGAGAGCAGAGGCCTCCTGGGACGTGGAGCAGAAGCTAACAGGCGGTGACTTCTTAGTTTGGCTCTTTGCCTTTGGTTAAGTGTCTGGGCGATGATGTGACTGGAACAGCTTTTATGGACATCCTAGAACTCGGGGGTCATAAAACCAAAATGACACGTTTTGTAGCATTAAAATAAAGAAGAGCTCTCTTGTCCCCTGGCTGCTCGTCCCAGACGGGCTGGCACAGCGCCCGGGTGATCCCGCTGTCATTTTGGAGTTAATGGAAAGTGCTTGTTCTGTGTGTGTGCCCTGAACACCTCCCAAGTTCCGTGTCACAGTCCTGCAGGGGCAGAGCTTTAGACGAGGGAGGAAGGAAGGGCTGGGGCCTCGGGTGGACGTAGCGGAGAGGAGGGAACCTGCCCCGACTGCCCCCTGGGCACCTGGCATCGGCACCTGTACGTAGTAAACCCCTCGTTAATCCTTATCGAATGCACCGTATCCTTAGCCCATTTTACAGATGAGCTCACTGAGCCCCAGTGGTGAGATGAACTGCACTTGATCCCATGGCTAGKATAAATGGCCAAACGAGGTCTCAGCGGTCCTTAGAGGACGCCTGGGGATGTCATGGTCAGAGGGAATCGGAAACCCCAGGTCCAGCAGGGCTCACAGGCCTCCAGGTCCTGAAGACAGACCCAGGCAGGGGATGGGGCAACAGTAAGGTCAGCAGGTCCACTGAGGCCTGGACAGAGAGCCAGGGGACCTGGTCAAGTCCCTTCCTGCCCCTGGTCACCCCTCCTTTCTCTTCTCTGGGCTGGTTTGGTTTCCTCTGCCATAAAATAGCTGGGCCCACCCGCTGAGGAGACTTGGCAGCTGAGGCAGAGCTTCAGAGGCAGGTGGATGTTCTGCTTCTGTCTTTGGAGCTGCGTGACCGGGTGGCTTGGGACCGAGGGTAGCCATCCTGATGGCGAGGTCAGGCCGTGGCTGAGCGGATGGCTCGGGGAGAGGTGGCGCCTCCGCCCGCCTCGGTGGGCTCTGCCTCTCCTTCCTGCGCTACAATCCCGCGGCTCCATCGCAGTGAGCACTGAGCGGGGGAGGGCAGACCTGATGGACAGATGACCTTCCCCGTGGCGCCGGGGGCATGGGAAGGAGGAAGGGCACGTGGATGTCTCGGCCCTTGCATGAGGGTGACAGAACGCGCACATGGAGAGGGACCCTCTTAGAGGGCCTTGAACACGTCCTGGTGACCCTTCTGTGCACTGGTGATGGGGGGGGTTGTGGGGCAGGCCGCTCACAAGACACACCACGTCCCAGTTCTGTCCAGAGTGAAGAGTCTTTATTTAGCTGGCCGGCCACTGTCCCCACGGGCCCCATGACTGTCTCTGCAAGGAACAGCCCTGAGCCTGAGCATTTTAGAACTTTTTAAAAAATTTTAAAAAATTTTTTCATTGTAGATGGACACAATGCCTTTATTTTCTTTGTTTATTTTTTATATGGTGCCAAGGAGCGAACCCAGTGCCTCATGCATGCGAGGCAAGCACTCGACCACAGCCCCAGTCCGCATTTTAGGATATTTAAAGGCAAAAACCACATCTGGGTTGATGAAGCCGCAAGCAGGCAGGAGCAGAAGCTGGACGGGRCAGTCAGCGAGACAGTGCAATGGGGACGTTGGTATGTCCCAGGGACTTTCCAGGTTGGCATAGCAACAACCAAGCAGAAGGGAAGGGGGTCAAAATGACCCTAGTTGAGTACACSCTAAACATGGTTACTAACATCTAGGCAGTCGGTCTCTGACAAGGTACATCGCCCAAGAAAAATGGAAACCAAAGAGAACACTTTTCCATTGCATCAGGATTGCCACTGTGAGCTGCCAAGTCTGCTCTGCCAGGTCCCTGTTGATGGGTCCGGAGGCGGCTTTCCCTGGAGAAGTGTTTCTTCCGTGGTGTGGAGCCTCGGGGTAAAATGGCTCKGTCACTGCCCAGTAGCCTGGCCCACAACAGAGGGCAGAGGGGCTTTGTGTTTCAGAGTGTGACTGCGGCCACGTGCCCTGGACCCCCGGGACCACTGTTCCACATTCAGATTCCAGCCCCCTGCAGTCTCTAGGGGAGGTCCCCAGCTGCTGTGTGGCTGGAGAGCTTTCTAGAAGGCCCTTACACATGCTCAAGTTTCAAGACCATTGGTTTGATAAAAGTCTTCGATAGCTGGGGGGTTGAGGTCCCCTGGAAACAGGTGATGTGGCCAAGGCCACGTGACAAAACCCAGAGGTTCATTTCAGTCCTGTAGACAGAGGAATCCACGCGCCGAGGTCCGGGCTCCTGTCCCTCAGCCAGCGGTGGCCCTCGCGCCTGAGCCCACCTCTCCCCGGCAGGCTGCTGGCCCTGGGGCCCCCCTCCACGTCCTGGTCAGACTTTCCTCCGAGCGTGGGCATCTTTGTGCATCTGCCAGCATTTCCCCTGCGCCTGTCACCTTTGGTGTCCTGGGCCACACTCAGGCCCTAAACGGTTAGCACCATCTGAGTGGACGCGGGTCTTCAGGGCTGAGAGTGGGAGCCGGACTTTTGGGGAGCACTGGGGGGGTGCTGAATGCTTCCATCGGAGGAGGGTGGGGCACCAGCCCTCCTCTGGCTGCCAGTCCCCTCCTAAGGGACAGCAGGATCTGTCTAGCTCTGTTTGTCCTTTAATGCCCACACCGGAGGGCAGGTCAGTTCAGGATGACCCGAGCGACACTTAGAGGCAGCATCACGGCCATGGCTCTGGGGAGGCGTCGTGGCAGGGTTGCAGAGGAAGGGTCAGCTGCCTCTCAGGCGCGAGGCCGGGCACGCCACTCACCTCCTCTAGCAGCTCCAGAAACTGCCCGCTCAGCAGTGTACCCTCATTCATGCAGGAAGCATAGAGTAAGCACCTGCTGTGTACTAGACCTGTTCTGGGGAGGACGGAGATGGCGTGCCCTCTAGGACAGAGGTGGCTTGGTGGCTTGCTGAGGTGTACAGGTGGCAGAGGACCTGCAGGAGGACTGCTCACAGGGAGGGAGGAGGGCGCGTTTGCTGGTGGCAGGGAGGCAAAGGCTCGGTGGCGAAGGGACCGTGCAGGTGCAAGGTGAGCCCTTCCTTTTGTCCCCACCTGGGACAGGCTTCCCCGAGAGCCCCCTGAAGCCCCCTGTGTCATCCTTCTGCCCACCAGGGAGGAGCTGCAGAGCCTGTTCCAGGCGCGGGCCAAGCTGCCCCCCGTGTGCCGGGCAGTGGCGGGCCTGGAGGGCACCTCGGAGCAGGCGTCGCTGCGGAGCCGCGTGGTGAGGAGGACCTTCGCCAGCAGCCTGGGCGCCGTGCGGAGGAGAGCCCCGTGCTCCCACGTCAAGCTGCAGATGGTGAGTGGCCTCCAGGGACCCGGGTCCCCACCTTCTGTGGGAGGTGGCATCTGCTGACAGCATCCCCCACCTCCCCACCAAGCCTGGGGGCAGCAGCACCTGTGCCCTGCAGGGAGGAAAGGGAGGCTCTACCACAAGGAGACCTGGCCGAGGCCAYTCACCTGGGAGGGGCCAGATCACGGCCTCGCGGCTTGGCACAGAGGGAGGCCTGGGAGAATGTCCGGATCCTCGAATTCCCCCCCGGGAGGTGACCCATCAAGCCAGCTCCACCTGCCCTTCCTGCCAGGAGGCTGTGGGGACGCCAGCTCTGGGTGACCACATTTACCTGGGCCACCGTGTCAACCTATTAACCCACCAGAAGATTTGACTGGGCAGCAGCGTGGCTGAGCCAGTCCAGCTCTTCTGCTGCTGTGATCCCTGGGGCCACTCGCTGGCCCTCTCTGCCTCCGTTTCCCCCACGGATCTCAATGGTGGCTGCTACGAAGTCCTCTTATGTCTCCTAAGTACCAGTTGGGATGGTGGTATAGGACCCAGGGCCCCCAAAGATGCCCAGGCTGCTGACTGTAGGCTGGGGACATGTCGGGACCTGCTGTCCACCTCCCCCGAGACCAGGCGTCCCTGACCCCTCCTGTGGGCTTGTCCTAGGACGCTCTGGTCAACCTGGTGAAGCGGTCCCGGCTGCACTTCATCCACTGCCTGACGCCGACCCCGACRATGGAGAGCAGGGGCGGGCAGGGCTCTCCCACACCACCGCAGCCCGGTGGGGACCAACCCGCGGCAGACCAGCCCCTGTCCCTGGACATCCCGGCACTCAGGGTGCAGCTGGCGGGATCACACATCCTGGAGGCCCTGCGTCTGCACAGAACAGGTGAGMGGAGCCTCTTCCCTGGTCCCTGTGGCTCCCCTGTCGGGGACAGCGAGTGCCCTTCCAGGCTGAGTAGGTGTATGGTGGGAGAGATCCGCACAACCACAGGGGACATCTGGGATGGTCACCCAGGGGTGCCTGCAGGAGAGAGCTGGGTGTTCTCCCCGGGAGACCAGGGGCCTCCTGATGGGGTCTCCAACATCCAGAGCGGCTCAGAGTCCTGGAGGCGGGGACAGGGAGCATCAGGGAGAGAATGAGCACGTTCGAGGTGGGGGAGAAAGAGCGGTGCTTCAGGAGTGGGGTTCACAGTGGACGGGCCGCGGGAGGAGGCTGGCAGTCGGCTTTCCCTGGTCCTGCTGGGGAGAGGATGGGGGTCCCGGGCGAGGCAGGGGTTCAGTCAAAGGGACCGAGTCCTCAGTTGGCCATTTAGCAAGCACGCCCCGTGGTTCCACCCTGGCTGATCCTGTGAGCTGAGCTTGGTCTCTAACTGTCCTCTTCTCCTGGGCCACTCAGTCCCCAGCCTCCAGGTGGGTTCCCCCCCCCTTCCCCATGACAGGTGGACATGGGCTGGGTGTGGCCATTTCCACTGCAGAGGGGGGTTCCTGGGGCTGGCAGGGGTCTCAGGCGGGCCCCGTTTGTTGACCCGCACTGTGGTCACCCACAGCGGCTGGGAGTCCGCCAGCACATCCCCACCCCCGCATCCTTCAGGGAAGCCTGGGCAGGGGAGCTGGGAGCAACTGGAAGCCAAGGAGCCTCTCCCTCCCCTGAGCGCGCCAAGCGCCATTGACTTTCCCTCCCACAGTGTAGCTGGAGGCGGAGGGAGGCAGATGATGTCACAGGGCAAGAACCAGACGGTCACAGCCCACGACTGGCAGGAAGCACCGGCCTCTGCGAGTGCCCTGGGTCGTCCTAGGACCATTAGACTCTGTGCGTGTGCGCCTGGGCCAGTGTCCCTTCCCTAGGCCTTGCTCCTGCTGTCACCATGGGTCTGTCCCCTCCATCAGCACAGCCCAACCCAGACGGGGTGAGCTTTCCAACCAAGTGAAGGGCAGGTGGCTCATGCCAGGGCTTAACAATGTCTGCTTCCCCCTCCCTCCCTCCCTCCCTCCCTTACCTCTTTCAAACCCACACGAGTGACATCTGCATAGCTGCAGAGATGCGTGCATTAGCTACGTCTAACTGTGCACCGGGCCTGCGTGACGTGGCCACAGCTGTCTCTACATGTGACGAGGCACATACATGCTACTTCCTGAGCACTTCCTGTGTGCGTGGGACTTGTTACACACATTGGATGAACTGGTTCCCGCAGAGCCTGGGCACGGTGCCTGGAGTGTACCTGGCCCTCTGTGTCTGTGGGTTTCCCCTCTCCAGGGATTCGACAGCCTCAGGTTGGAAGTATCTGGGAAAAGACTGCACCTGTACTGAACATGTACGGATTTTTTTTTTTCTTGTCATTATCCCCTGAACAACAGAGTCTAACAGTTATTTTGACAGCATTGACATTTGTTGGGGATTATGTCATCTAGAGATGATTTAAAATAGATGGGAGGAGGGACAAATATGACAGCATTTGACATCAGGGCTCGAGCTGCATGGAGTTTGGTGTCCAAGGAGGGTCCCTGCACCAATCTCACTGCAGATACCAAGGGGTGACTGTGTAGTAAGTGCTCATTAAACATCCCCTAAGGTCCAGCCTGGTGAGTCCAGCTCAGGCTCTAGCATCACGTGGCCTTGGCCTGGGCCGCTTCTGCTGCCACCTCTCGGCAGCCATGTGACCCCAGGCAAAATCTGTCGACAAACTTCTCGTTCCTCTCTCAAGAGACTTACCACAAGAGCTGGTGACTGGTGAGGGGGGAAACTGAGAGGGGCCGGATATGGGGGAGCAGTGACACATGTCAGCCACCAGCTGCACCCAGCACACTCCGTCCCCACAGTGACCGTGAAGCCGGGTCAAGCTGTTCTCAGGCATCAAGTTCAGAAATGGCATCTCCCAGAGGTGGCGTCCTTTTTCCCAGTCTTGAGGCTCATGAGGGCAGACATGAGACAGGAGTCCAGCTAAGTCTGACCTAAAAGAGAAATGCAGCTGGGTGCAGTGGCGCACACCTGTAATCCCAGCGGCTGGGGAGGCTGGGGCAGGAGGATCACAAGTTCGAGGCCAGCCTCAGCAACTTTGCGAGGCTCTGTCTCAAAATAAAAAATAAAAAGGGCTGGGGATGTGGTTCAGTGGTTAAAAAAAAGGGAGAAGCAGARGAAGAAAGAAAACTTAAAAAAAGAAGAATGCAGGCTATAACCCCCAGTTCCTTCTTCATGTCTTCCGTGTCCTTCAAAGCCCCCCAAGGCCCCTCCTCCTCCCCCAGAAGGCCTCCTGGATTGGCCGTGGGCGCTGTCCCTCCTGGCCTGTGCCTTTGTGTTATCATGAAGCCTCAGACGTGGAGTGGACCTCCCCAGACCTCTCCAATGCAAACGCTTTCCGGATCTTTCTGAAGCACCYGAGGCTCCGTAGTGTCCCTGGTACTCAGGGAGGAAAGTGTAACCCTGGAGACCTCAGATGCGAGGCCCTGCCCTGCTTGTCCCTGGGTCCTCTCCCTGAATTGCTGTCACGCCCAGGTTACTGTTTTGAGGATCTGGGTGACTTTCTCTGGGCCTCGTCTCCCCACTGATCCAATGGGGGAAAGGATAGAGATCTAAGTGTCAGTGACACAGGAGGTAGTCACCCGGTGTGTGACATGAGGCAGCCCTCAGGCAAGGCGGCGGTGGCCGTGAGCGTGGGGCTTGGCCACTCTGCCCACGCTGGGTGTTGGTGCCACTTCCTGCTGCGGGGAACCTGCGTCCACTGCAGCCCTGGGAAGCCCGCGGCTCCTCCGCAGCCTGACTCTAGGCCACGTTCCCTCCCGGTCCCTCCCCGGTGTCCAGCCTGTGTGACAGACTTCAAGAGCCGCTGGCTGCTGCTCRGTGCCGTGTCCCCTGCATAGTCCCTGGAGTGGGAAAAAAGGAGGGGTCCAAGAACTCTCTGTGGTCCACGGGGTTGGGGAAAACCAGGCGCAGGGCCCCTCCCCACAGGAGCCCCCGGCCCTTGGCCTGGTGCTGACAAGGACGGGGACCCTCCAAGAGGCCCAGAGTTCAGCATTTAATAGGGCTCTGTGTTCTGGAAAAGTCCTTGAAACGAGCTGCCGAGGTCCCCGCCTSTGAGTCCCCACAGGACGGAGCAGCCGGGCTGGGCCCAGGGTGCTGGGCCTTGTCATTGGTGTTCTGTGACCTGTCCTGCCCGTGTCCCCCTCTGCCCCAGGCTACGCCGACCACATGGGGCTTGCTCAGTTCCGCCGGCGGTTCCAGGCGCTGGACCCTGCGCTGCTGAAGAAGCTCCCGTCGGCCTCGGAGGGAATGGACGAGCGGAAGGTGGGTCCAGCTGGGGGCCCGGGGGCCTTGGCTGGGGTGGGAGGCGCCCCCGTTCCCCAGGACTGCCCTGGGCGCACCTGGAGCAGGTGGGAACCGGGAGTGGCCTCGGGGGCCGTGCGGTGGGTGGCCTGGGGTTTGGCTCAAACTCCTGTCCCAACAGTGTCACTGGAGCCTGTCCCCACCCTAGGACGTCCCTCCTGAGACCTTGCGTTAGGAGGTGTGGGAGGACTGGCGTGTCAGGCTGTCCAGCTGAATGGGTCCCGGTGACATGACAAGCCGTCATTTCTAAGGGGCACTCCCACCCTGCACCCCCAGATGGCCCACAGAAAGAGGCTTCCAGGTCCAGAAGGCTCAGGAAGTGCTTTGCACCATCTCCCTGCGGTCCACCTCCAGGGTCCATCTTCCTGCCCCCGCTTCCTCGTCTGTCACGCAGGAATGGCAATGACAATGACGCCTGCCTGGCAGGCTGTAGTAGAGGTGACGAGCTCCACCCAGGGCCTGGCCTGTAGTAAGGGGTCAGCATAAATCACTGCCATCAACACCAACAGCTTCTCCCAGGGCCAGGGTGAGGGCCACCAAGCCACACACTCCATTCAAAGCCAAGTGGAACTGTCACCTCCCCGCGAGTGTGCCCACGTGGGTCTGAGGTAGCSCGGCCATCCTCGAACAGGAGCTGTAAGGCCAGAGGGCCCCAGGGCCACTGCTGCTCGYGTCTGCAGTGGGGACAGGTGGCCTCCAGCAGGCAGGACGGCGCCCTCTGCTGGGGGCTGGGGTGTGGTTCAGGGTCCCGCTCACTGGGAGAGGCCTCAGCAGACGCAGCCTTTGGGGGCAGGACTGTCCCCTCTCATTTTGGAAGCCAGGAAATGCCAGTTGGCTTAGTGCCACCAGCCACCCACTATCAGTGATCTCTCGGGGCTCTTTGTCCTTGGGCCTGCCCCTCAAAACTTTGTCACCAGGCAGAGGGTCCCGAAAGGGGCCAGTGAAAGGTCCTGGTCTCGGGGCCGTGGAAAACGGGGCAGGGGCGGGCGCGGGGAGTGTCCGTGGGCCGTGGTGCAGCATATGGGAGCGTTTCTATTCTAGACGACTCGGCAGGTTCCAGTCACAGCCAAGCCGGAGCCACCTCCGTAGTCACCAGAGTCCTCGGAGAGTGGAAAGTTCCAGGCGGGATGAGCATGGCGGGGGTGGGGGGGTTCGCTTTATATATATATATTTGCTCCCAGATTTCATTTCTGCAGCAGAGAATTTTGGTAGCAAAAAAGGAGACGCCATCAACTTATGAAAAGGGGGATAAGCACTCATTTGTCGGGTGACGTGACCCACCGTCCCTTGTGCCCAAACGAGCTCGGTCRGTGGGCAAACCAGCAGCCCCCGGTGCAGAGCAGCTGACCTCGGGTGGACACRTCTGGCCACAAGAAGAGGTCAAGGCTGGCGGTAGGCACGGGGCRGCAGCAGAGGAGCTTCCTGTCAGGGTGGACAAGGGGGACGTCCCCCTGGGCCTGGCAYGTGGCATCTTCTCATGTCACCACCRTTTCCCAGAGGGTTTTGTTGTGTGGGCGCCCACTGGGGATTCTGYGTTCCCGAGGAGTGGCCCGAGCCTCTTACCCCCAATGCACACGCTCCATCGCCAAGTGTCACGCAGGAATGACAATGACAATGACGCCTACCTGGCAGGCTGTAGTAGAGGTGATGAGCTCGACACAGGGCCTGGCCGTAGGAAGGGATCAGCATAAATCACTGCCATCAACACCACAGCCTCTTTCAGGGCCAGCGTGGGGGCCACCAAGCCCTCACCAAGCTTCATCGCCAAGTGTCACACGGTGCGAAAGGGCACAGTCCCCCACCCGAGCCAGTCCTTGGAAGAGTGAACCTCTCCACTCAGGGAATGGTCCCATGTCACAGCAGAGACAGCTGAGGCTGGGGCAGCCAGCAGGGTGGTAAGTGAGCTGGGATGTGAACGTCGGCTCCCAGAGTCCTTCACCAGGGACCAGCTATTGATTACCACTGTGGTCACAACCACACAGCGCAAACTGACCAGAATGCAGAGTGGTGGAGTTGTGAGGGTTCCTACTGGTGGGTGACCGTCACCACCGTCCATCTCCAGAACAACTTCATCCTGTGACTGAAGCCCTGAACCTGTGGCACTTTCCACTCCTTCCTCTCCCAGCCCCTGCTGCCTGCCATCTTACTTTCCATCTCTGTGGATGGACTACTCCAGGTACCTCGTGGAATCGTACAATACGGACCCTTTGTGACTGCTTTATTTTACTTAGTTTAATGTCCTCAAGGCTCATCCCTGAAGGATGGATCAGGTCTTCCTTCCTTTTTTAGGGCTGAATAATATCTCACCATGTGTGTACACCTCGTTTAACCGCCCATTTGTCTGTCAATAGCCACACTGGTCGTTTCCTTGGGTTAGCGGTTGTGAATAATGAGGCTGTGAACTTGGATGTGACAAAGACCTCTTTTAGATCCTACTTGCAGTTTTTTCAGGTATGTCCCCAGAAGCAGGATTTCCTGCATCAGATGCTAATTCTATTTTTAAGTGTTCGAGGAAATTCTAGTTTCCCACAGTGGCTGTACCATTTTGCATTCCCACCGATACCACACAAGGATCCCATTTTCTCTTCATCTTTGCCTCTGCCTCTCTCCCCCTTCTTTTTTTCATTTTTCATATTAGTCATCCTAATAGGCACGAGGCAGCATCTCATTGTGGTTTTGATACACATTTCCCTAGTGATAAAAGATGCCAAGCAACATGTCCTGCCCTTTGAGGGAGGCAGAGGTTTGGACACAGTTCTGGATGGCACGGGCTGACCGTCAACACTGATGTAAAGTAGTTACTGTTGATTTCATCCAACTTTAACCAAGTTCCTGCTTTTCGCCCAGCCCTGTGCTAGAGATCCAGGGGTGATCTGAACACAGCCCTGAGGAGAAGCTCTTTCCATACGGAGGGCGGGCTTGGGACAGCCCAGCGATCCACTGAAGCTTTTGACGCTTCCAATGGAGATGAACGGAGTCCTGGGGACGGTGCCTCAGAACAGCTGATGCTTCCATTGAGCCTTGTGGGGTGATTCGGAGGAATGGAGTCAGAGAAAGACTTGGGGACGTTCCCAGCTCAGGTGTCACAAGTGCAAAGACAGAGTCGTGGAGGGTATGGATGGTTAGTGCAGCTGGGGCATGAAGGTTGCCAGGTGCCCAGGGAGGGGCCAAGGAGGCCATTGGTAGCAGATCCTTCTCCCTGGAAGAGTGTGAGCTTTGATTGACAGCTCGCTGAAGCCGTTATCCTTACTACTTGGGCTTGCAATGGAAGTGAAGTCCACTCTGCCCATCCCATGGTCCTCTCCAGGAAGCAGGGTCTGCATGCTGACCTCTAGCTGTTCAGGACACCATTGGCTCTTTTTTTTGGGGGGGGGTCAGTACTGGGGATTAAACTCAGGACCTCGACCACTGAGCCCCATCCCCAGCCCTATTTTGTATTTTATTTAGAGACAGGGTCTCACCGAGTTGCTTAGCATCTCACTTTTGCTGAGGCTGGCTTTGAACTCACGATCCTCCTGCCTCAGCTTCTTGAGCTGCTGGGATGACAGGCGAGCGCCACCCTGCCTGGCACCTTTGTCTCAACCCTTGACTCTTCTAGACACCTAGGAACACTCTTCTAGACACCCAGACCCTCCCTCTCCTCTCCCCCTGGCTCCCACTCCTCCCTCCCAGGTGGTCCAGCTTGGACCTTCACCAACACTGACCCCCACTCCCATGGTGCCGTCTCACACGTGCCAGTTAAGGACCTCTTTCAGCTCCCCTGGGCCASGCCCCAGATTCTGTCTCTTCCCTCTCTGCTGCCAAAGCAGGAATTGAAATCTCTGATTGATTGAAGCAAACCCTGGGGCTCCCTTTCCCTGCAGGGTATCTGTAGCGTTGATTGATTTTTAGCCAACAAATTCTCTCTCTCTGGGCACTCGATCTGAGAAATATAGGTGAGGACTTTCAATTCATCCTCTCAAAGGCGCCCACATTCCCTTTCTCAAACCCTGGTGGCTGCTCCCAGTGTCCTCTGAGTTCATCTCAAGAGCCCCTGTGCCAGGCAGAGTCCTCCAGGAGTCCCAGGCTGGGGAGGGAGCTGTCCGCCCTCAGGTRCTGAATGGCGAATCGGCGCCTGCACAGACTTGGGAGGGGTCATTGGGCAGCCTCTGCTTGCGGTGCCCTCTGGTTTGAGTCTTCAGTGCTAAAGATTTTAGATGTTTCTAGTCAATGGGAACTAACTGTGTGTGTGTGTGTCTTCTGCTTCTTCTATTTATAGTCCAAACATATGAAATATTCCCCACCCTTAGGGAATGATTCTGCCATGTGTGGGAGGTTCATTAGTTACAATATGGTTTAGGTGAGACGCACTTGGGTTCAAATTGTGTCTTTTTCCGTATCTCTTTCCATGAATGCATGCCATTGACACTTGGTATTTATTATGCCTGAACATAGGCCAATGGAATTGCCACAGCAAAGTGGCCAGCACATAGTAGGTGCTCAATGGAAGGCCACCATTGGGCTGTGGCATGGATTTCATGGAGGCAGGCAATGAATGGAGCAGCCCATTCTGTGGACTTGGATCCACCAAATCCCGAGCTCACAGAGGAGGCCGGTTTGGGAGGCCGTGTCAGGAGGCTGGGTTGGGAGGTGGATTGGGAGGCAGGGTCTGGGCCACATTTCCTGGCATGTCTCACTGTGTGCCTGGAATATMCAGCCAGATATAAGATGTCAGCCCATGTACTTGGTGAGTGCGTACCTCCTGAACAGCAGAGAGAAAGCTCTGCAAAATTCYAGGATGCGATCCTGCTAATTTTCCTACCAATTCCTGAGTGTCAAGTATTCAAGCCTCCAGTTATTAATTAATCAATTAATTGCTTTTGTACCACATATTGAATCCAGGGACTCTTAACCATGGAGCCACATCCCCAGCCYCCTTTTAAAAATAATTCATTTAAAGACAGGGTCTTGCTGAGATTTTT